GGGCACAGCACAGCATTCCATATAGACATGACAGTGGCGCAGTGCGAAGAGGCCCTTGATTCACCCAAGAGAAGATACTTGGTTGAACAACTCAGACTGTTGCCACCTATCTCGTGGGAAGCACGTCAACCACATTTGCTTATCTGCGATGAATCGACTGGGTGCATGAAAGTTCATGGACGTATTGACATTGCACGGGCATGTTCGAGCTGGAACGGCCTTGACTCTCTGCTGACTTTGCGCTGTCTCCGAACAACGCGATCCAAATCGAGCCTCGTCAGTCCTACCATTTCTCCAAGACCTGCAATGCTGGGCTGCTCACCAAACCCTCATGGCTCCGGAAGTCTGCATACCGGAACACCTTATTGTCGCCAGCTACAACGTCTTGGCCGAATTCAAGTGGCCAACTTGTTCAGCTCGGTATCCTCTAATTGTTCGCAACTCACTGGCAAAGACGGCTCAGGCTGACGTCTTAGTCCTGCAGGAGGTCAATGAGTCATGACCATTTCCTCACCCATCTGCTGAGCAATCAGAGTATTCGGCAAATCTACCCCTTCACCACCCACGGCTTACCTGACGGGCTGAGCACTGGGCCGCTCCCTAGCTTTCTTAATGTTCTCGCTCCCAGCCAGCATAGTTTCAGGTTGGGCTTCTTGCCGTTTCAACGCCGGCACAAAGGATGCAGCCTTCTGGCATTTGACCACATCGGCACCCATGATGAGCAAGGGCATGCCTTACCTATCATCCTCGCAGCCACTCACTTATGCCAAGGGCTTACAGATGGTGCTGTGGTTGCTAAATGTGGTGACATAAACACATTATCAATTACCTGGGTAGCTCACATACCCGCAACGTCTGGGTCCTCGCCGGGGATCTTACCCTGGCAACGTCTTCTAACACCCTGAACATGGCGGTCAAAACAGGTAGCATATCACGACAGACGAGGGCCTCCCTGGATCGCATGGATACTACGCTGCGGGAAGCTCAATTTTTGGATTCTTGGGCCGTCGCTCGGATGGAGGTAGGCGAGTCTTCTGGTAATCTGAAAAAGTCAAGAAGCCTTTATGATGCCTTCGAAGGAGAACAAGGGGCCACATTCGACCCCCAGGAGAACCCCTTAGCAGCCGCCATGAGGGGCAGTGGATTCAACAACCGACCGCAAAGGTATTATCGTATTCTTCTCAAAGGCTCGGACGTTCTCACCGTCCGGGGATTCAACATGTTCGGTTTCAGCAAAAGCCCTGCAGGGATAGAGGAGACTCAAGAGCCGGCGTCTCATGCAAGTGATCACTGGGGTGTGCGATGCCTTCTTCTTAAACAGCCGCAAACACCGGGGTTGGATGCAGCACCTACGCCACAGCACACGGCCGTTACGGTGCTACCTGCTCAAGCGCCCGCAAGGTTGTCCAGCACAGATTCGCTGCAGAAGTGCCTCGAGTTGACAGTGTATTCCAACTGATAATGAAGAGAATATTGGAAGAGATACATTCGAGCTTGTCAAATCAGTCATTCTTGACAGTCATGTCAGCAATGGCCCAGACACATTTACTGGACGGTTCCCAGTCGTTCTTATCCCGGTCGGCTCTTACGGGCTTGGGGTCTGGACAATAGATTCTGACCTGAACTGTTTCTGCATCGGAGCCTGCAGTACTGCAACGTCTTTCCGACTAGCAGGCAGAGGATCGCCGAATCAGCCCCCGATGTCGTTCGAGTTCTGCGGAAAGTCAAGTCGAAGTCAGGCGCTATGTTGATTCCGGAGGTTCGAGGTGTGAGGGTGGACTTGCAGTACTGCCAGGCTCCGCACATTGCTGAGGCGTTGGTAGCCTCCACACTTGCTACACGATATACCTGATGGCTGACGATCACCACCAGCTGGCCCGAAATCATAATGTGACCGCCAACGGATCCCGCATTCGATCTCAAGTTCGAGGCGCTCCTGGAGTTGAAGCCCGCAAGAGGCTTATTCTACCTACTCTACTCTATTCCGGACATCGTACAGTTTTGCTTGGCATCCCAACTGATCAAGAAGTGGGCCAAGATACGGGGGATTTATGGTGCTCGATTCGACTACTTGGGAGGAATACATATCTCAGTACTTCTAGCACGCATTTGCAAAATGTTGTCGCATAGTTGCAACAATATGTCGGCTACCAGCGTCATCACGACCTTCTTCAATCACTATGCCACCTTCGACTGGCAGACCCAAGTTGCATTTGATCCATTCTTTTACAAGCAACTTCGTTTTGATCGGTCTTTCCGCAAGCCTCTTTGCACAATTGATTGGCATTCGCCCGTTCTGAACATGTCTTCTGCAGCTTCAAGACAGACTGCGAAAACCCTGAAGAGGGAGTTTCAGAGGGCCAGAGATTACATGTTGACGCATAGCATGACGTGATCCAAGTTTATCGGTGGAGAGGACCCTTGTAATGATGGGTTCTCCTTGGGTGCTCAAGACTTCTTGAAAACGTACAAGTCGTATATCAAAATGGACCTTCACTATTGGGGATCTTTATCAGGGGACGGTTGCAGATTGGTTGCATGGTTGGAATCTCGTTGTGTCAGCATACTGGTTGGTACGTCACGAGCCATCGGACCTCACCTTCACGAAACGGATCTCTGGCTAACTCGGATAGGTATTGGCATGCAATTGCCAGGCTCAGTGGCCCGCATATGGCCCGAAAGATTCACGGAGGCACATACAGAGAGTTTCACCACATCGGGGCACTACCACGGGTTATATCTGATCGGTCTAGACTGGGATGGGGTCGATGGTGAGCCGATTTCAAAGTTGAAGCTAAATTTAGCTCATGAGACCCTCCAAGAAATACTGCAGCATTTTACAAGGCGAATACGGGGAGGCGAGAGCTACTTCGACCCTCAGAGGCTGTGGCTTAACGCTTCGCTTGTGCCAGATTCAGAGCTTGGCAGGATGTCTCCCGATGACCAGGATTGGGGCGAATATCAGTCTGATGACGAATCTTCTGACGAAGAGGTTGCTGATCCGATGGAGGCCTCTTCAGCGGGATCTGCGGAGCCTGCTCGCCAGTCGAAGTGCAAGACAGGTTATTCCAGAGCCCATAAGGCAGCTGCACCCGTCCCTAGGCCCTAGGGCGCAGTAAAACTTCGCATAGCTGCCGATGTGCTGCATCGTTTACGGAGGGACCTGGGTATGAGCAGCGATGACTTTGTCATTGGCTACACTGATCATCACCTCCCTGAGCCGCAAGAGAAAGCTGTCGGGGCGTGGAAGCTGGAACAAACTCACGAAGAGTTTATCCCCAACACCAAATTCTCTACTTCAGGCGGAAGAGCGATGAGGTGCTGGTATGGGAGTGGAGCTCTCGGACTGACATGATAATTCGAACTGGACTGCAGCCGTATTCGGGACGAGAATAACGAAATTGTGCTATTCATTCGGTGCCCCCCAAGCGGACTCATTCCCTCCGCGCCTCGCCATACTTTCATGTGTGGTCATGGGTGATACAGAGACAACAGTGCTCAGGTCGTCATGAGTAACTATATAGAGGTAAATCTACCTTCACAGTTTTGGTCATGGCATTCATTCGCATGACCCAACACTTGGACGATTGCTCATAATATATACTGTGACCATTGCTATATCTTGGCGATAAGACATGCACGACCTAACTCCTGTAATCAACTGCAACGCCCTCATGATCCGTATTCCCTCTAGACCCCAACATGTATATGTTGTCCGTGACGCCGCTGCAAGGAAAAAAAGACGCCTAGTAAAGGGTGACAAAGATCGCCGATATAGCACTCTTGTCGTACTTTACGTACTTCCCCTTGCCCTTGTCGACTTCGTGATAGCGGTCCCAGAAACGGTTGTATAATGGTTCAAGCATTTGCTGGATATCGCGCGCGAACATCTGACGAACCTCCCGTTCCATGTTGTAGGACTTGTGTTTTGCAACCATTTCGTCGAATGATGCATTGAATGATTGAAACTTGTTCTTGATGTTGTCCTTGTCCTTGCTGCTCAGGCTTTTGACGATGGAGCTCGAATCAGGTTGGCCCGAGGTAGGTCGTTGTTTGTTTGTGTGGATAACATCGAACAGATGACTGGATACCTCCTTGCAGTCCATGGTATACAGACTTTTGGACTTCTTTCGCCACTGGTCGAGCAATGCCAGCCGCTGCTCAAGCAACGGAGCAAGATCAGAATCGCGTATCATCCGCTCCACGATAACAACGTTATTTGCCAAGAAAACACCCAGCACTCCACGACCACCTCGGAGCACAGCTTGAGCCTTTTGATTAAGAGATGAAAGTAACGTCTCAATGGTATCTGTGCAATAATGTGAGAAGATGTCCTTGCCATCAGCACCAATGTCGAACGATGCCAGGCTTGGAATGACATCTGCTGAGCGGCCATTCGCAGCGGCGACAGACTTCCAGCCCCCGTCGCCAAGAGAAACCATGATACTTGAAATGGGGCGCATGAATTCCACCATAGCTTGCAGACGTTGCATGGTTTCGGAGACGATGGGGACGGGCGCGCCATCGGCAGGAAGTACTTGCATGTTGCCGACTCTGCGCTTGGTATCCTCCAGCAGATCGGCTAGTGAAGATTTGGCTGTTTCTCTCACAGGACGAAGGGCCGCGGCTAGGGATGACTTAAGCTCCCCAGTACGCGTTTCCAGTTTTTCAGAGAGGCTTGACATGATCTCGGTTATTTCGTACGCCAGGTAGCAATCTGTAGTCAGATGGGCTTTGATGTGAACGTTCAGCTCTCTAACAGCGCGAGCTAGCTCTGCTAGGGCCGCCTGACATGTGACCTGAAATATAGCCCCCCAGTCACCCCGATTGAAGAGGTTGCAAATATTCTCGTACTCCGCCAGAAAGAGGCCTTCCATGGCTTGCGCATATGTACCGATGCCGTTGGTCCCAGCTCTATATATGGCTTCCGAGTTCTTCTTCTTTGCCGTATTGACACTTGCAGCGGCCAGATTGACCAGTGTTGATGACAGATATTGCCCTCGGACATCGGCAAATATCTTCGCAGCTGGAGACTCTTGTGAAGTCAGCTGGGGTTGTCTACCAGCCACATGTGCCCTGATGAGAGCCAAGGGCGTGATCACGCTCTGTGCAAGTGTTGGGAACGGGACGTCTTTGGTAATGTAATGCAGTGGTTCGATCGATCGCGGTGTCTCGGCGCGAATGAGTTTGTCGAAATGACCTTCAAGCTGTGTGTTGCCGGACTTCACTAGGCGTGAAAGGTCGGCGATGGTCTGCTGGTTCGCCCGCAGGTTCGAGGTCTGCATATCGGCTAAGGCTTGGTTCAATCTTTTAACAGAGGCGAGATAGTTGACAAGTCCAGCCTTGTCAGGTCCCGCCCGAATGATCTGTTCCTCGTCATTCTTACTATCGGCTGGCTGTCGCAGTTTCTCGATGGACGATACAACTTTGTCGATGTCTTTGGAGAGCATAAGAAGTCAGTAACTATGTTGTGCAGGGAAACTTGGACCGGTGAGCAACGTACTGTGGCCAAGAACCTGCAACTTCTTTGTCTCGCCATTGAGTGGGCCTGCAACATCGCGTACACTCTTGCCGGTGGCATCAAGTCTCCCCAGCGAGGCTTGTATCTTCCGTGTCAATTGAGTCGTCTTCTCGAGCCGGGAGCTTAGCACATCGACTTCGGCACGCGCCTCTTCATCCGCGATTTGGCGGTTATTTGTCACCGTCACAGCCATGGCTAACTGATTGAGGGCGACCTCAAGGTGATGGGGACGCTAAGCGAGTTTTAGGCACGTTGTTGGAACGGACAATCCGCGTTTGTGCGTCGCTGTTGAAAATATGCACATCTGCCATGTGGTGTAAAGGCAGTTGTCAGAACTTGTATGCTCATGATAGAGCGACAGCAACTGTTGCACAACAAAGCTACGGCGGTTGACTGATCAAAGCAAGGAGGGCAGGCGTAGTAAGGGAGGGTTGATTGAGTGGGCCTCATGGTCTCTATCCGGGGTCAAATGCCTGGGGACAAGTATTATGTAATCACTGACAAGGCGTACATGATATAACATCTCAGGTTTGATTGACATATGCTCGACTGTTTGTGGAATGTGACCTCGTTCTGTTGATGCTCTTCCTAAATGATGGCCCGGGACAGTTCTTCTGGCCCTCTCAAAGTTCTTTGTATCTTGGTCTGGTTCAGCTCAAATCAATACCACAAGGTCGAGTAGATTTCAGCTGTCTCTCGACTTCTCGGGGAGGTTAATCTTATAATGGAAGAAATGATGTATGAGCTTTGTCACAGTCTCTACAAGAAAATCAACATCAGAATCGGTGATGGTGTACGGCGGTGCCAGGATGATGTGATCTCCACTGTAGCCATCGACTGTGCCGGCTCCTGGGTTCCCGCAGTGCTCAGTGAGCGCCAGATCGGACAATGTCGCTGCGATCTGCGCGTGGCGCGGGAATGGATCTTTAGTGCGCTTATCGCAGACAAACTCGATGCCCCAGAAGAGTCCTTTCCCACGGATGTCGCCGACATGAGCATGACTGTCAAGGTTGCTTCTGAGCTGCCTGAATAAGCGGCTCCCCTTATCCCTCACGTTCTCCAGAAGGTTATCGGATACAACGATGCGTTGAACCTCAAGAGCCGCTGCACAGGCGCTGAGATGAGCCTGGTAAGTATGGCCATGAACGAAGATACTGTACTACATGTTAGCTGCATCAAGAAAGCAGGAAGGTGAAAGCGAGAAATTGCACTTGCCCGCTGCCATTTTCAAGCACATCTACAAATCGACGGCTGATCGGAGTCCTGCAATTGGTCAATAGCCACCACCAAGCCCCTTGCCAATGGTTTGGAGGTCAGGGACCACACCTTCATCTTGCCATGCATGAAGGGTGCCTGTTCGACCCATGCCACACATGACTTCAACGAGAATAAGTAGCGCTCCGTATTTTTCGCACACTGCTTTCATGGCCTTGAAATAGCCTGGTACTGCAGGCACACAGCCAAGTGCCTGTGGTACTCGCATGATCAGCTCAAAGGTGCTGGCTGAGAACGATTCGTATAATGCCTTACCGCTCCAACTACGGGCTCTGCAACAAATGCACATATTATGTGGGGACCAAGGCGTATGAATTCGTCCTCCAACTCCTTCGCGAGTCTTGCAACATACATAGCGTCGGTCTCGTGACTTGCCTGGCCTCTGTAAGAAAAACAAGGGGACACGACTGATGTGTTATTGCACATCATGGGCTCAAAGTTCGCTCGTCGGCCAGCGTGTCCGCCAACAGACAGCGCCCCCAGCGTGATCCCATGATAGGAGCGGCTTCTGGATATGAATCTGTATCTTGTGCGCTGTGCCGGTGTCTGTTCGAGAAAAAACTGACGCGAAAGTTTCATTGCCGCCTCCATAGCTTCTGAACCTGTGCCTTTTAGCAAAGACGCTGCCCTTTGTCGCGACGCCGGAGACATACCACTGCTTACGATGTAGGCTTTTGACATGTGGCCCTCAGTTGAGTCAACGAGAAGTTGACATAATTCCTCAGATGTGCTGTGCGCAAAGAACGTTGTTGCGCAATATGTGGCGATCGCGTCTTGCTGTCTTATCGCCTTTAGAACTCTGGGGTGTCCGTGGCCAAGGCACGCCACAGCGGCATCGCCAGAAGAATCGAAGATCTTCCTCCCGTCTGTTAGAATGCAGTAGTGACCCTCGCAACTGGCGAGTTGCAGAAATTGATGCCGCAGGTCACGATGCAGAACAGCCGACTTGGGCATTATTTGGTCGATTATCATGTCGCTTGCCCCAACCTCTGGGGACGAGCTTCTTTCAATACCTAACGAGATCAATGTACTACGAAAGTCGGTGGTCGAGCTCAGGCTGAAGGGCTGCGGCGCAGATTTGGTGAAGTTTGCAAACACGAGCGCCAGTCTATTGAGCTGTGGCGCTTTGGAGGTTCTTATACGTGTTGAGAGGGACCAGATTCCTGTCAGCGGAGTAGCATGAGGTCCAGGTCCCGACCCCTAACACGGCCCGTATCGGAAACGGGGTTTTGAGTCGGCATCGACATAGTCACGAACTTAGGGACGTCAATGGCAAATCTACTACCAGAAGCTTATCACAAGGAGGGGCGAGAGATGTCCTGACGACACTAGTCAATATACTCGTGCGGAACCCGATGCCGGGATGAATCAAATCGGACCGAACTCAACCGAAGGAGAAGGCTTGCAGTCGGTGTGGTCGGTGCGGTCGGTGCACTCCCTCGCCTGAGCGCGCGCTGCCTGCTGGCCCGAAAGCCAACGCGTCCCCTAGAAACCCTCCTTACGCCGAGTGGAACCGTGCGGCTTTGCCCATTGGATAATTTCCACCACCACTTAACGCGCCATAGCTGCTTTAGAGTCAATGAAGGCACGCGTCGCAGCCCCTCATTTTCGAATAACGCGTCGTGGCCCCTCGAACAACCGCCTCCCAACGTCACGAACTCTCTAGACAGCCTCACTCCCTCTTGTGAGGTCGCTCCATACAACACGACTTGTCCAGATGGATTCTTTTATGCTTCAGGATGATGCGGCTGCTGACCGTGTTCGGCAGGCGGAAGACTTCCTTGATCCACGTTTGTCCCTCCCATCAGGCTGATCATTTGGATGATTGTTGCTGACCAGGCACGCGCAGAAAATCCTCACGCCAGAAGCTACCGACCTGACATAATCTTGATGGTACAGAAGAATCAGAGGCGCTTGAACGTTAACCTTGACCACGTTCGAGAACACAATGAACAGCTCGCGGAAGGGATACTTCGTCAACCGTTCGACTATACAATTGCATTCGACCATGCCTTGAAAGAGATCGTCAAAACACTGCCACAGACTCGAGCGGAGGAGGTCGCAGATGCCTTATATTACTGCGCTTGGGCGGGCAGTTTTGGCCTCAACGCATGCAACCCTCGTACCTTATCGTCACACCATCTCAACAATATGATCTCCCTTGAAGGCATTGTCACCAGATGCTCACTCATCAGACCCAAGATCGTCAAGAGCGTTCATTACAACGAGGCGAAGAATGTCTTTCATTTCAGAGAATACCAAGACCGGACCATGACCGACGGCGCTTCTACTTCCAGCGTGTACCCTCAAGAGGATGACGAGGGAAACCCTCTCATTACCGAGTATGGGTTCAGCAAATACCGGGATCACCAGACTATTTCTGTTCAAGAAATGCCCGAGCGCGCCCCCGCTGGGCAACTGCCCCGTGGAGTGGACGTTGTACTCGACGATGATCTGGTGGACAAGGTCAAGCCAGGAGACCGAGTGCAATTGGTTGGCATATACAAGACTCTTGGCAACAGGAACACAAACCACAGCAGCGCTCTCTTCAAAACAGTCATCCTCGCGAACAACGTTGTACTGCTGTCCTCCAAATCAGGCGGCGGCATAGCCACTGCCACCATCACAGATATGGATATCCGGAATATCAACAAGATTGCCAAGAAGAAGAATCTCCTGGACTTGCTGTCGCAATCCCTGGCCCCCAGCATATATGGACATGGTCATATCAAGAAGGCCATTCTGTTGATGCTGTTGGGTGGCATGGAGAAAAATCTTCCCAATGGCACCCATCTCAGGGGCGACATCAATATTTTAATGGTTGGCGATCCATCGACTGCCAAATCTCAACTACTTCGATTCGTTTTGAACACGGCCCCCCTGGCTATTGCCACAACAGGCCGAGGCTCTTCTGGAGTTGGTCTTACTGCGGCTGTCACATCAGACAAGGAGACAGGAGAGCGCCGGCTGGAGGCTGGCGCTATGGTGATGGCTGATCGAGGCGTGGTCTGTATCGATGAGTTCGACAAAATGTCTGACATCGACAGGGTGGCTATCCACGAAGTCATGGAACAACAAACTGTTACCATAGCAAAGGCAGGCATCCACACGTCACTGAATGCCAGGTGTAGCGTTATAGCCGCGGCCAACCCCATTTTTGGTCAGTATGACACGCACAAGGACCCGCACAAGAACATTGCGCTGCCTGACTCCCTTCTTTCACGCTTCGATCTCCTCTTCGTAGTTACGGACGACATTGAGGACACACGCGATAGACAGGTTTCAGAACACGTTCTCCGCATGCATCGCTACCGGCAAGCGGGCACAGAAGAAGGCGCACCGGTGAGAGAAAACACGAGTCAGTCTCTTGGAGTCGCAGTCAACAACCAGACCGAGTCTCAACGTCAAACGGATGTCTTCGAGAAGTTCGACGCCATGCTCCATGCAGGCGTCACTGTAACATCGGGACGTGGTGCGAACAAGAAGCCAGAGGTTTTGAGTATCCCCTTCATGAAAAAATACATTCAATACGCCAAAACACGAATTCGTCCTTTACTCACGCAAGAGGCGAACGACCGTATCGCAGACATTTACGTCGGCCTCCGAAATGATGATCTAGAAGGTAATCAGCGCCGCACAAGTCCATTGACGGTGCGAACTTTGGAGACGCTTGTTCGTCTTTCAACCGCGCATGCAAAGTCACGCTTGTCAAACCGGATTGACGAGCGCGACGTGGCTGCGGCCGAGTCCATTTTGCGGTTTGCACTGTTCAAGGAGGTTGTTGAGGACGAGTCAAGAAAGAAGCGTAGAAAGACACAAAACACTCAGATGTCCTCGAGCGAAAGTTCTTCGTCGGAAGATGACGATGACGACGCATACAGGGGCGCCACAGCACGCACATCTGTATCCAGATCTGGCCCTTCAACCCGTGGTGTTGCACGGCCTCGGAAAACCACGACTGCTCCTAATCAGATCAGTGGCACTGCAGATGCGGATGCAGATGTTGACGACGGAGCCCGTGGCTCGACATCTGATGCGCAGGGTGCAGAACGCGATCAAGACCAGGATTTGAACCGATTGCGCCAGTCGGCAGGAGCATCACACAGTCGCGCAACGCGCACGCAAACATCATATGCCTCGTCGGTACCAGAATCACAGCTGCTATCAACATCGCAACATGAGCCCGAGGAAGACGAGCTTGCAACAGGAGCTGCAACTCTAGCCATCGCAGATGAGCCCATTACTGATGAGCGCTTCAACACATTCAGAACAACACTCGGACAGCTTCTCAACTCGGCTCTATTCGAGGATGACTCGGCAGGCTTGGACGCCATCATCCACGCTGTGAACGCAAAACTGCACTCGAGGAGTGGAGGTGCCTTTGACAAAGAAGAGGCTGTTAAGGCGCTGCGAAAGATGGATGACCTCAACCAGATCATGTACGTGGCTTTGTTCTCTCATCTCTCTGTGGCATTTCACGGCTAACAACTAGACAGGTACACATCAGGGGACCTTGTATACAAGATCTAGTCTGTGTCGCATTGTGTTGCATCATCCCAAATAGACTGTTCGGCAGTGGGGTAATGTTGACTAGGCAGCTGCGGTTGATTTACGATGGGTAAAAGGCTGATGCTGCGCTTGATCTGCATTATCAAAAGACTCGAGCATGGCTTTGGCAGGCTAAGGGCTGCGTGGCTTCTAACAAAATAATGACGTATGATTTCTGCACCTGTTTCTCTCAGATGTTTGGCAATGGCACTCAATCATTGCCCGCGTCTTCCAGCGCGTTTTTTACTTAAGTCTCTATGCGTCCCCCCCCTTCCTCTCTCGTTGAACACACCGAGCCGCGCCCACCCACCTCATCAGTTGTGGGTTCTCGTTCGTTCACTCTGGTAGACGACGCCGATATTCCTCGAGTCTTTGACTGACTCGGACACCATTCCATGTCTCATTACCTTGCTCATCTTTGCCGAGGATGGGCATGCCCACTTGCTCAATTGCAAAGCTCGCTGACACGCTGCCCCATGTAGCAGCCTCCTCTACACTCTTGCCTCGGGCCAGGGCCGCCGCAAGCCCACCTAAAAAGCTATTGCCCCCTCCAGTAGGGTCAACGACCAAGGATGCATCTTGATGATAGGCAGGTACCCAGCGCTCGACGCCAGGATCGACCTCGATTTCTTCACGTGCGATGGTGCCCTCTTCATCCTGTAACAGGCCTGCGAAGAGTGCCTCCATGTCAGTGTCGGGCCGGAGGCCGCCGCGAGTGTAATCCTTCTTCCGACGCTTGACACCATCACAAGGTGCACGAGGCTGGCGCTTCCTCCCACCATTTCTAGCGATGTAGCAGCCTTTCTCGCCGGCACGAACCACGAGGGTAAACGACTGTAAGGGCATACTCGCTAAAAGCTGTTCACAGGAACGTTCCACGGCCGCAGTGGATATCTCGCCCGTGTTCAGATCCAAGCCATGATCACCCATGAAGCCTGCAAGCTCTGCATGGTTGGGACTGCAAACATCAACGAGTGGCAGTGTGTTCGTGCAGTTAAGCAGCTCATCGGGGGTGCACAGGTCGGGGACTGGCTCCCAGACGAAGATTGGTTTCACGTATGAGTCTGGTGGTGACAAGGCCTTTCTGGAAGTCGTGATATTTGCAACCAGCTCTCTGCATCTCGTTGGCGAACAGATGAGGTGGAACGAGCGAGAGAAAAGCAGCGTTGGCGTTAGGTCTTCGGCCGTGAGGCGTTTCTTTGGGGTGGTGTACTTGAATGCGCGCTTCGTTGTGTTTCCGGTGTTTTCGTAACCGTTCCAGCCTCGCGTAGTAAGGCGTTCAGTTGATTTGCGCATCAGAGCAGACGTGTTCCACGTTTCAATCAGAGTTGTAAGCTCGGCGGGGAAATCGATTCCTTGATCGACCACCCAGCCAACGGAAGAGGACAGAGGAGGGGGAGAGAAAAGACGTGCTCCTATGGCGGAATACGTGCCCGCACCGCCTAGTATATCTTTGACTGGTGGCGTGGGTTCCTCGAACTCGATATCATCTTCACGGGTCAGCATGATCGAACCGTCGAGCAGCGAGCCTTAAGTCTGTGTGGGGTGTGTCGCAGAAACCTCACCTATGATGACCATACCCAGCGTAACGACATCCAAATATGTTAAAGCCGCAAATTCTGCCTCTGTGGGAACGTCATCCTTCACCGACAAGAATTCCATGGCGGCCTTTGGTATACTTTGCTAACTGCAACAGGTAACCTCTGAAGACTGTCTTATTACGACCGCGACGAGCTTCAGCGTTTCAGTTACAGGGAGATTACGGAAACTCGACTCCGCAAATTCACTCCAACGAAACGATATTGAGAGTACAAGGTTGTGTGCTGACGATGCATACTCGCCACTGGCTGTTGAAAAAACAGCATTCAGGCTGCAAGTAGCAAACTCATGATGTGTTCAAAGTCCCAATATGCAGGGCCGCTGGCACAGCGCTCAAGGTTCGCCGATCGGGACCAAACACCAGTACCTAGAAAATACTGGATATCTGCATACACCCTTGACTATGGAGCCTGTGACCTCGTCACCTAGACGGTCGGGCAGTACGAGAAAGCACGCATGTTAATGTGGGACTCGTTGTACCTCGGCGAATGTGCAGAAGGTCAATTTGGATGCCGCCTGCCTGTCCAATCCACGAGTTCAGTTCGAGGGGCATTCTGGTAACCGTGTTGAAAGGTGGTCTCAGTTGCTGGTAGCACAAGCAGTGCACAAGGAGACCACGGTCATTGGGTCAAGCAAGGACAATCTAATGTACAGGGAGTGCATGGAGTCTTGTTCAAGATCACGACTCGAAGGGAACACTTTGTTGGTCTGGCACCACATATCTGTTCATTGTCGGGGATGCCCATCTGTGAGGAATAAGACCTGCGGTTGCGCTCTGACGGACAGTGGGTACCTGGGTAGCGGCGGGGCGGGTGCCTTGTCTGTGCCAAAGCTTCTCTAGCTGCCATTCCATAGTGTCTGCCTTCAGGAGCACCCCCGTCAACATGGTCACTCACTTCGCCCTCTCCCCCAAGTCCCCAGCCTCGTCCTCGCGCAGCTCGCAAGAACAAGACAGATCTCCTGATTCTCGGATATCTTTACACTTCAAGGTCTTCCCGTGATCACACACCGACGACAACGGCCTTTGATTGCTTCTGGCACCGTTGCGCTCTGGCTCCTGCTGTTGTATTTCAACCCAAGCGCCCCTGATTCCTGCAACATCGCATCCTGCAGGATAGCCGATCATGGCGACCAACAATATGCACAACCTTACGACGCTCATCAAGAGGTTCGTACATATCACCGCCTGTCTCCGTGCACTCGGAAGAAGTGGAGGCACTGACAGCTTCGCAGGCTTGAAGCGGCCACTGCAAGGCTTGAGGACATTGCCTCGTCGACCATCGAGCTACCCCAAGCCGCGCCTGCACCAGGCCAGCCCATTCTGCCATCGCCTCCTACCGCATCGAGTACAACGACACCTGCTGCTGCTGCTGCCCCTCAACCACTGCCCGAATCGATTCAAGAGTTTGACATATTCATTACTACTGCTGTCGAGAACTATGTCAAGAAGTCCAAGCAACTTGGCGGTCTGCTTGCTGATCAGGTGAGCCTTTCGCTGCCCTGATTAGAAGAATCTCCTTTCAATCTTGTCCTGCTAGTGCTCACTGACGCTCATTCGATGCTGTAGGCTGCCAAAGTTCTCGCCGGTTTCCAAGCTCAACGCACGTATCTGCTCATTACGACGAAGGCCAAGAAGCCCGACCTAAATGGGGCCGAACATATCGCGCTTCTGAATCCGATCAATGAAGCCCTGATTTCTGCCACCGAGATCAAGGAAGCTAACCGGCCGTCGCCTGTCTTTAGCCAACTCAGTGCCGTCGCCGAGGGCATCATGGTACTCGCTTGGGTAACTGTGGATAACCGTCCATATAAGCATGTAGAAGAATCTCTTGGGTCGGCCCAGTTCTTCGGAAACCGGGTGTTGAAGGAACAGAAAGACAAGTAAGCTAAGATATGCAAAATCTGATAGCCATGTCAACCCTAACTGACGCGCAACCAGGGACCCTCAGCAAGCCGAGTGGGTTCATAGCTTTTACCAGGTTTTCCGCGACCTGGCCGATTACGTCAAGCAGTACTTCCCGAACGGTATACCTTGGAATCCGAAAGGACAGCCTGCCCAGGAGGTGGCCAAGACTTTGGTTACAGCCTCGTCAATGGCAGCGCCACCGCCTCCTCCCCCTCCCGCCGGCAGCTTGCCGCCGCCGCCGCCGCCGCCGCCTGGCCCGCCACCTGTACTGGACCTAAGTAATGGGGAAGCTCCTGCTTCGGGTCAGGAAAGGGGAGGCCTTGATGCTGTCTTTTCCGAGCTTAACAGAGGAGATGCCGTGACCAAGGGCCTCCGAAAGGTTGACAAATCGGAGATGACTCACAAGAACCCATCTCTACGAGCTTCCTCCAGCGTTGTCCGAGGCAAGAGCCCGGCCCCTGGAAAGAAGCCAAAGCCCGAGAGCATGCGCAGCAAAAAGCCACCCAGGAAGGAGCTTGACGGAAATAAGTGGACAATTGTAAGAGGCGAAATACGAACACATGATGGATAGCAACTGATATCATATCTCACAACAGGAGAACTACGATAAAGAACTACAGCCGATTGAGATCGAAGCGTCCAACAACCATTCTTTGTTGATTAGCAGATGTAACAACACGACGATCATCATTAAGGGTAAGGCCAACGCCGTCACCATTGAGAACTCCAATCGTCTATCGTTGATTGTCGACTCTCTCATCTCCACGGTGGATGTAGTCAAGTCACAGAATTTTGCCTTGCAAGTCATGGGGGTCATCCCTACGGTTATGATGGATCAGATCGATGGTGCCCAGATTTACTTCAGCAAGGAGAGTACGTCCACCAAGATCTTTACGAGCAAGTCGTCGGGTGTCAATCTGAACGTCATTTCGGGTCCTGATGGCGATTCGAAGGAAGTCCCACTGCCCTATCAGATTTGCTCTTACTACGATGAGGAGAAGGACGACCTTGTGAACGAGATCGTGTCACACGCCGGTTAGACATTTGATGGAGTCATTTTCTAGTTCCTCGGGTCACTGCGGTCGACATTGTGTGGTTTCGGAGGTTTCGTAGGCTTGTGTAGTTATGAACAAGATTTGCCTTTTCACGCTATGGACAGAATAACCGAGGGAAACCCTCATGCGTCTTGACGGTGAAGGTTGCCTGGCTAGGTTGGCAGCACGTAGTCTATTGTCAACAAAACTTAAGCGATGCGCCAGTCCTGATCTCTAGTACATGTACGCAGAATGCACAATTGGCATACGCTGCTTGTCCGGTCAATCCCTCCGTCATCCCACACTATGTTCTCCATTTGTCCACCTTCTGGCACCCTCTTTAATTTCACGGGCCTCTCACAATTTCGCCTTGGGTGTCTCAATGCTCGATATGAGGAGATCACGTATATCACCAGCAGCCTCGTTGAGGTAGAAGCTCATCCTCTGGCTGCCAAGACCCTTCGACACAATGTTGAAGTTGATGCTGTGATAATATCAAATTAGCATTCTACTACTTTGGGTTCCCAAAAGGGCGAGGAACCTGAGACGTGACAGCTCCAGGAAGTCTTACCTGTTTTCGTTGATCATATACGCAATACCAAATCCGTCGTCAATAACCTGGCTCCAACCGTAGCCGTTGAAAAACTCAGAGCTCAACTGCGAGGTCGAGAGGAACCACGTGGCGGAATAGGTGTACGCTGGGTCCTTGTAGATGCTCGGGAGCTCCTCACCAGGTCCCAATAGCTTCTTCAGACCGAACAGGTGCCTGTCCACTCCCTTGCCATCTGACGCGGCACTGATGTATTCGAGATGCGAATCGATAGCCTTGCGGAACAGGTCAGTGCGAGTCGCGTCCGTCGACTCGGCGTCGGCCATGGACCGGCACCAGGCGGTTGAAGCATCAGAAACCGTGCGGCAAGTTTCGGTACGACCCTGCTGGAAACGGCGGGTGGCAGCGGACTCGTACGTGGGGCGATTCTTGCCGTACATCTTGAAGTACGCCAGCTGGATGATCATCTGAACGTAGGCATCGGGGGAGCATTTGAACTTCTTGATCAAGCCCTTGCCGTAGCCCTGGTACGCCTGCACGGCGAGCTCGTGCTGGCCGATAACGTCGTTGAAGTCTTTGGTTGCACGGTCAATCTCAGTCTGAACGTCCTTGGTGATCTCGAATTTGACTGGCTGAGGATCGGCCAGGTTAGAGCGGATAGCTGGGTTGGAGAGGTCAATTTTGTTATTGAAAATGAGATCATTGATGTAGTCGTTCAAGCGATGAGTAGGGGTGCCATCCATCATGGAGTGCTCGCCCATGAAGCCAGAAGTGCCGTTGTCGTTGACGATGAATTGAAGAGGCTTGTCAAACCAGCGATTCTGGCCATCTCCATGCCAGTATTGGTGAGCACGCTCTTCAAGCGTCACCGGAGAGGCGTCATCGAGGCACACGACGAACGACGCAGATTCAATGGTCTCAAGGGCTGCAGCGTTCTTGGGATGCGCTGCAAGCAAAGTTTGGCGAGCATCAGCCCACACATCACGGTTTTCGCTGGTTAGAGCACCAAGAGCGGGAGCTCGCTGAGCGGATTCGTAGACCTTGTTGAACTGCTGTTCGAGTTCGCTTGCGTTGAGCTGTTTGCCGTTCACCTCGTGCATAATCTTGAAGAACTGGTTCTTGCGGATTGCAATGATGTGCTTGTGATCTTTGTGGGAGAACTTGACTGGGTGGTCGACGGGCTTGGCGGCAACGCGACTGGCGTTGAACATGTACTGGTAGCTGTCCATGCAGATTGGCAGGCACTTCATGTACTCGGGCTCAAGGGTTCCAGCGTCCACTTCTTTTTTGAATTCGAGCACAGCGGAGGTTATGGCGGCGGCGCGCTTGGCCGGGTTTCTCCTGCGACGGTCGTCTCGGTGGGAATAGAAGTAGCTGACGTAGGGAACGACAGGGTCTCTGTAGGACAGGTATGCAGCATCGTTCCACCACTCATAGAGCCAGTTCCTGTGCTTGGGGTCCTCTCGTCGAGCAAGGAGCTTCTCTTGCAACCGGCTGCCAACGCCGCCAGGTTTGATGAACTCCTCAACGGCCTTCTTGCTTGTCGCAAACTCGGAATCGGAAAGGAGAGGTCGCAAGGTCTTGACGTAGCGAGCAGCAGTCTCCTCGAGCGTAGGGACGGGTAGGCGAGGGAGAGAGTCCTGAAATCTCAACATGGGCCCCTTGGACTTGTCCTCTACATAGCCTGTTCGCGCTGTCAGCCATGAATTTTATTTCGCGATGCGCGCAGCGGGCAGAGTGGCTTACCAGCCGGCAATGAGCTGTTGCTCCTCTTGCTGGCAGGTGGCATAGCGGCCAGGATGTTACGAGTCGGTTTGGCAAAGATACGTGGGTTTCTCAGGGTGGCAGACCTGGCCTCAAAAGCGCGAAATGCAAACGACATGACCGATCTTTGAGCAATTGGGGTTGAAAGATGCGCCACAGGGAAGAGGATGATTTGGACGAGGGGAATATGATGCTCGCTGCTGGTCGGGACAAACCCATCATAGCCGACGAGCCTAGGTACGCGCGCCGAGGTATTCACCAGTTCACGGGGCAAGAAACATTGAGCTAGGCCGCATATGCGTTAGGCTGCCGTCAGCAGGGACAAGGGATCCCAGGGCCAGCCCAGAATTAGCGCGAGTGTGGTATGGCGGGTTCTAACTCGACTTGTGTCGGTAGTCGGTTACGGGAATATTTTGTGGATCTCTTTCGCCAACGCTGTATGTGGAGGCCGAATGACGGTGCGTGTATTGGGGTATGGTAAGACGAAACACATGTTTTCGTTGCGGGGAGAAGACAGAGAGCCTTTGGGCCGAACCCGTTCGCGCGTACCCTGTCCTATTCGCTGGCTTAAATCACCGGCCTAGGAACAACTGGGACCTAACAGCCCACCAGTGTGCGGCCTTCGCCGTTACGGGCACTGTCAACTTGAATTGACATGGAAGACTCGATAAGTCGCTAGTTTGGCGATCCGCCCCCCCCCCCCCCCCTGTGTGAGTGTGCCGAGGTTAGTAGTACACTGTCAGCCGGCGTGTGGAGTAACGACGGGATGAGGTAGCGGGCAGATTGTGTGCAGCCGATCCAAGCAGTGCATGGACTACTCTGCAGCGAAGTCTATCCACACAAGCTGTCACATGCATCATGGTGCAAACGCGAAGCGGCTCAACTGACGGAGGCCGGCCGGTGCTTCTCAGAGCTGGAGCAGGAGAGTCGTTTCGTAATCAGCTATTCGAAGAAATGTATAAGTTTGTTATTGGTGATACAGCCTCAAGCAGAACAACAATAAACGAGACGAAACCAAGAACCATCCCATGCCATCCGCGAGTGCCAAGCGACATGAAGCCGCCCAACCCCAAATTCCCCAGAACCCCCTTCGACGCCGTAGTACCAACTAGTATGATCGATCCCTCGTTCGGTTCCTGGGTTGGCCCAGAACCACATTTGCGAACCTCCCCTTCATCAAATTTCCAGGCTCTGCACCTTGCCACCACTGCTCAATGGCTGCACAGTATCGGCTCCTGGAACTGATTGTACCGTGAGCCTACCATTGCCCATCAGTATATCATCTCCCAGCCGAAGTCCCTGGTCGGTACCCGTGGCCGCCGCTGTCTTGAACGACTGCTGAACCTCTCTGACTCTTCGCTTGAATGCGAGTCGGTCAAGGAATAACTGCTGCCGGCCTCTCTCAAGCTCGCGACGCTCGGCTTGGAGCAGAGCCTCCATCTCATTGAAATACTTAAGCTTCAGGTCCAGCTTCTGCAGCGTCACGTTGGCCGCTGCTGACACCAGTCGCGTCATCTCACGCTCCTCCTCTGTGGCAAGACCAACAGCGCGCGCTCCCGTTGTTGCTAGTGGTATCGATGCCATTTTGCGGACGGTTGTTGTGGTAACGGTTGTAGTGGTCGTTTCCTGTTCAACGTCCACCTCCATTGCATCACCATCTCTTTCTTTGCCCTTGCCATTCGAGGCTTCAGTCTCCCGTGACTCTCCGCCTTCGAGACGATTACGTAGACGGCGCTTCATTTCGTCGGCGGAAGAGTGGGCAGCCGCGGCTGTGGTGGCTGGGTCAGCCAAGCTAGCTAGAAATCCAACGACAGACATGACTGGGTTGTCGGCCTGGTTGTATGGGATTTGCTTGTCACCATGAGCCCCAAGAATGGTGAGTTCCGATTCAAGATACTTGTCCTCAATACCGAGTTGCAGGAACTGAAGCGCACATTCTTCGCGAGTACGAGTGCCGACGTGCTCTGCAATGTCGGTCCATTCTTCATCGTAACGCTCGAGAGCCTCCAGTAGTCGCAAAAGTTCCGCATCGCTCCATGGAGCATCTCTCTCGGGCACCGTTGTATACGTAGGGTTGTCATGGCGGACAAGCGCACCGTCCCCGTCACGAGTATATTGTGACTTGCTCGAATCGCCAGGGAAGTGACCATCAAGAAAGCAGCTGGGACAGATTTCATATTTTGCCTTGGCGCTACCCTCCTTTGTTGGAGCATGGTAGTACAGACGAGTGCAGTCGACGGCACAGGCGTGGCAGTTGACCTTCGTGATGGGGCCCGTCGATGCCTCCTTGCTTGCCGACACACCATTTGTGGTTGGTGTCTCCCCGTTGGTTTTGACCTCGGTCGTGGCGTTGAGGTTGGTTGATTTGGCGTCTCCGTCGTAGATGTTTCGACTCACCTCTAGCTTGGAATCTCCTTTCGCAGCTTGTGCAGCCGAGGCCTTGTTGTCAGTGTCTACACTTTGCTTGCCCTTGGTCACCTCCTGGTCGGCCGAAGGCTGAAAGGCTTGCAGGCCACGGGGCGTGTCGCAGATAACCTTGAAGTGGCCTGTGTAGGGGGGACCAATGTTAGAGGGTCGGTGATCTCCATCCACCTGGCAATGTCAGCATCATACAATTGAGTACAATAGTGTGCTGGTTGAGACCGTCCAGCGATAATAGGGAGTTATTTACCTGGTAATTGATGAGGCCCCATTGCTCGAGAAAGGCGTGAACCCGCATGATTGCGCAGACATCACCTGCCAGGTTTCGTCTGCAAGCAGTGACGGTCAAGTATTCCGCGGGGTTCAGGCGATAGGTATTAATCATGAAGTCGCGGTAGTCTTTGTAAACGACAGGGGTCTTGCTGCGGTTGCGGCTGTTGAAGAATTCGGCCATGGCCTTACGTTCAATCTCGTGTACCATATTCATATCGAACCAAGTGCTGTAACTTGGCAATATTATGGCGTGGGTCTGGGAAATGAGATGATCACGGGCAGCTGCCTCGACGCTTTCCTTTGTCTTGCCCTCCTGTCCTTCTACTTCGGTGCCAGTGACAGCAGCGTCGGCATCGGGTTCATCACCCGCATCTTTCCCAATCTCGGCGTCATCTTCATCGCGCGAGATGGTAGTTTCGGCTGCGGGACCATCCGGTGCATCCAGAGGGTTATCCGAAGCTGTGATCGGGGCTGGGGTGGCGCTGTCTTGCTTGACAATGGGTTCATTGTTCACGGCTTCACCCATCTGGATATCTGGAGCCATGGACATGTTAGAATTGAATAAGACAATCATCACCAGGTGGTGTTTTGATGGCGAGAGCGCCAAAATGATGACGAACCTTCAGAGTTATCCGGCCTGGTGCTGCCTGTCTCAGGCGCGAGCGGCGGCTGCGCGAGAAGAGCATTGCTAGTGGGTGACGCGGCATTGACCGGCGACCCGTAGTTGGTCGATTCGTCCATGGTGATGAGGACAGCGAGAATATAAAGATCCTTGAGGCGACTTCGTGGTGAGTGATGCGCGACAAGATTGTTTCTTGGGAAGAACGCGCGGTGAACGCGCGACGGGGTTTAGAGTCGATGCGCGTTGGTGAAGACGTCGACCTGACGCGGGCGTCGGAGCAAGCGAGAGAGAGAGCGCTAGGAAATGTCAAGCGAATTGTGAACTCTTTGCTCGAACCTCAGTGTAATGAGTTATCTTTGCGGAACAGCGAGTCCGTGGGGGTGGGAAGTGGATGATCCCGTCGCGAGGCGTGATCGCGTCTCAAGAATTTTGGGGGCGCGGTTGAAGTGCTGCAGGAGGGTCTCTCTAAAAGGGCAGAGGCTGGCAGCTGGGCAAGGAAGGCGATTGACTGACTGAACAGATTGCTGCTGATGAGCGGTCCAAAAGCGTCCACATGTGCAGGGGCACTGGCTTAGTAACCTTCACATCCCGACCACTGAGAAACCAGTAAGAGGGTCCCTCGCTATACTCACGTGATGAGATGACTGTTGTGACTGGCCCCACCCCTGGTCAGTAGCAGCCGATGACGGACGACAACCTCGGGCCGTGTCAAACCGCAACAGCAGACGCCTATTCGAAATCCGTAATGTTCACAAGCCGCCCCCTGCGTGTCTGCTCCAAAGCCCTCGTACAGCGCCACTCAATCATTTGAGCGGACTGTAGTCTATATCTGTGATTTCTCAACTTACGGCGCATACGAAACATTAATATGTCTTACACTGCTGCACGAAGGGTCGCTTTTCGCGGAGTACCCGCCTCGCTCCTCCAGCGCCTACCTCTCTCCAACCAAGCAAGGCGCAGCTTACTTTCGACGCTTGCGATATTGGAGCAACGCGAGGGTCAGCTCAATCATGGCTCTCTGAGTTCCATTACGGCAGCGAAGAAACTGGGAGGCACAGTGCACGGCTTCGTTGCTGGAGGAAACATCCAGGCTGTTGCGCAGGAGGCAGCCAAGGTGGATGGCGTTGAGAAGATCATTGCTGTGGACAATGCACTTTATGACAAGGTTTGACCTACCACTGAAACAATTTCGCTATCATACTCAATGCTGACACTTCATTCTCGTCTTGACAGGGTCTTCCCGAGAACTTCGCTCCCCTGCTGGTTGAGAACATCAAGCAAGGCGGGTATACGCACGTCATCGCAAGCCACACGGCTTTTGGCAAGAATATCATGCCACGTGTAGCTGCGCTCCTCGATTTGCAGCAGGTGTCGGATATCGTTGCGATCGAGAGTGAAGATGTATTTGTACGGCCCATTTATGCCGGCAACGCAATTGCTACGGTTCAGTCCTCGGATAAGGTCAAGGTTGTCACTATTCGAGGCACGGCTTTTCCTGCTGCTGAAGAGACGGGCGGCTCAGCGTCTGTCGAGGCCGGTGTGGACCCCAAGGCACCCTCTACGACTGAGTGGGTTTCCGAAGAGTTGACCAAGTCGGATCGCCCTGATCTTGCCACTGCTGGCAAGGTTGTTTCTGGTGGGCGTGGTCTTAAGTCCAAGGAGGAGTTTGACAAGGTCATGCTTCCACTCGCGGATTCGCTCGGTGCAGCGGTCGGTGCCTCTCGGGCTGCTGTCGATAGTGGCTATGCCGATAACAGCTTGCAGGTCGGGCAAACAGGCAAGGTTGTGGCTCCTCAGCTTTACATGGCAGTGGGAATCTCTGGCGCGATCCAGCATCTGGCGGGTATGAAGGATAGCAAGGTCATCGCAGCCATCAACAAGGATGCAGATGCTCCCATCTTCCAGGTTGCAGATGTAGGGCTCGTTGGTGATCTTTTCGACAAGGTTCCGGAGTTGACGGAAAAGCTGAAGCAGTAAAATGTTGTACACAAATGATTGTCCTTTATAGTGCTCGATCCACTTTATGCTACAACTTCGAGCATGGCCTTAGTGCTTGTGAACTTTTCACGTTCCTTACCTTTCTCCTGCCCCTTTTCTCGCTCAGCTTGGTCGATCTTGCGCCAGCCGTGCCAGTCCACGGTAGGCTGATTCTTGTCCACAGCCATTTCTGTACGCACCCTGTCCCATCCTGGCAGCGGGCTTGAGCTCGAATCTTCTCCTGCCTGTAGGAACTTGATACCCGAGAGCCAATCTCGCACAATCGAGTCGCCAGTATCGAAAGCGTCCTGCATGGTGGTTGCAATGACTCCCGTGGGCCCACGCTTGACCCAGCCAGCGCAGTAAAGCCCAGGGGAAATTTCTGACATGATATCGGTCTCAAGCTCAGTCGACGTTCTTCGAAGAACACGTCCTTGCCCATCGTTCATGATGACGCCGCGCCGCTCATCAAACAGCACACCTGCCTCTTGAAAACCCAGGAGCGGTGCTGATTTGTACCCGATGGAGCGAAAGACAAGGGATGACGGTAAAATGACCTTTTCGCCCTTCAGCTGCGCCTGGGCGTTTGGATCGAACTTGGAGGTGAGCTCTGTGCGTTCGAGCACTGTGCTGCCGACAAAGTGAGGCGAGACATCGCTGGCTACAAACTCGGTCGGTGAAAGGCAAAAGTCCAAAGACCATGACCTGGGCGCGGTCGACACTTGTGCCTGTGACCCCTTGGCCACCAGTTCTATCAGACGTTTCGCAGCCCTGGGAAGCGATTTGAGATCAGAGGGGATAAGGGACGGTTCCACAGGGTGGAATGCGACACCAGGTATCTTCATCAACTCCCGAGCCTCTTTTATAGTAAAGGCAGCCTTTCCAATCATCAGCAAGTTATGTGGGAGTATTGTTTCCATTCGCAAGTTTCGACCTACCTGCATTGGCCCGCGCCTTCCAACGACATGTACCCGACGTATACGAGAAGTGGCTAATGTGGCCAAAGCCTCATCGGTAATGTCCGTCTTTCGCAGAACATCGATGTCTTCTAGAAGTATTCTTGCAACGTCAAGAGCAACGTTCCCCTGGCCGATCACAACGGCTTCATCGCCTGTGGTGAGATTTGGGGCGAGGGCAGCCGATTCGGGAAGCCCATTGTACCATCCAACAAACTGCCGTGCCGAGTATATACCGGCAAGAGATGACTCACCGGGTATGTTTAGTGCCTTGTCCTTGATGGCGCCGTATGAGAACAAGATGGCATCATAGTTACGGAGCAAACTAGGCAGTTGGACGGTTCGACTGTGCGGCTGATGAGTCGCATCGCCTACGGAGACGTTGCCGACAAAGGTGAAGTTTGGGGAGCTAGCTATCTCTTCAAACTTGTCCTGGCAATTCTGTATTGTGTGAGCGGCGCATGATAACCACAATGTGAATCATATTGCTTATACCTTCACCTCTGGGTGGTCAGGCGCCACACCAAACCTAACGAGCCCATAGGGGACTGGCAGAGACTCGTACATATCGACTCGGGCTTGGGGCAATCGAGACATGACTCGGTACGCGGTATAAAATCCAGCAGGGCCAGATCCCACAATGGCCATGCGAAGGGGTTCGTCTGGCCTACGCGGAGCCGTTCTGCCGCTTGAATGCGTGCTTGCATGACGAGTCAAATGTGGTTGGGGGTGGAGGATTGTGCGCTTCAGAGACGACGAGACTCTGGCACATGAAGTCCTGGTCCCCGCGGTGAGTACGAGTGAACCCATTCTGGACGAGGAATCGGCGGATTTGTTGCGGCGTGACTAGTAATATTGGATGTAGGACCAACCGATAGTGGCAGCCTATGCTAGAGTCAACAGACCTACTTACTCATGCAGCGTGGTAGGGCATACCAAGGTTTAACATGAAGCCGAACCGCCGTTAAATGCTTTCGTGAAACATTGAGAACAACGAGATTACGAATAGCCAGTTTTCCGAAGTCGCATGTCCATTCATTTTTCTGCTTCGCTTAGTGCCGGGGATCTGGGAATATCACGATTTTATCTCGGCGCCGAAAGCGCCGGTCACTTTCGGCCTTTCGCTGACCACCTGTCTCAGGCAATTGAACAACACCGTGGTCCAGGTGAGCTCGAGCCACATGTACTTCCTGGACAAGATAGACGGTGCTCAGTTATATGTGTGCCTGAGGTTGGAGAACCGTACGGGTTGATAAGATAAGCGTACTTACTGCCCAAGCACCTCGAGACACAGATGCCCAGAGCTGTTGCTGTAGAAACGGCATTTAGCTCGCAACAGCAAAATAGTGAAAGGACGACGTCAATCCGTCTCGCCTGCCCGTATTATGCTGTTCAAACAAGAACGGTAGAGAGCTCATATGACATGCGCCCCTCAGTACTGCTGCATTGAGTCGACATTTGTGCTCATCTCACTCGATACCCCCATTTGTCTCCAATCCAAACCTATCGTCGCTTTCCCAACCACCCCCGCAAGGGACCTCAAGTTGCCATTCCAACTGGGCCCCGACGACTCTCCCGCAGTACATTCCAGCTAGACGCACCCTCCAATTGTCCCATCCTAGCACATTCCAGTATGGGTGTCCAGCAACCTTTCCTCTACGAAGCTATGGGGAGGCGCGGGAGTGGCCTGCCTGAGAAGTCCTTCGATCCCAAGGCTGTCACCCGCGCCAGCTACACTCCCAAAGCACCCAAGCCGAAGAAACATGATGGGCCTCTCATATCCTTTAACCGGCATCCCGAGTAAGAGAACCTCGTCTCTATCCGTGGCTGATTGTTTTACCGGTGCTCAATGCTAATGGGTTGTTACCCTGATTAAGTGCACACATGGTGTTGTCTCATCGGTCCACAACCTACCTCGCGTTAAGCCCGAGAATGAAAGGCTGGATCAAAGGTCTCCGTGTATTGCAGCTGATCTTGAGAGTTTTCCAGTTCATTGGCGCCGCTGGGCTGTTGACCCTGCTTATTTTGCTCACCGGCATCCCTGTCGTGGTGGGTTGGGTATTGCGGATTGCTGTAAGTCTTCGTTCCCATTCCTGACGACACGTCACGGGCCGTACTGCTTGTCACGTCAACCCAAAACCTTCGCGCGCAATCGCTAACCTGTCTAGCCTGGCGTTGTTTTGCTGCATTGCGCCTACGCTATTTACCACCTGTCACGCTCTGCAAGCAGTCGCACTCCAGCCTCCTCGGCCGCCTACCAGATCTTCGCTGCAGTTTCGGACATCTGCATAGTCCCTGGCTATGTGTTTGGCGCTCTTAGCGTCCGGAACCATGGATCGTCATGGACGACACGCCTGTCTGATGCTAGCCTTGTTGACTACTTCGTCCCGGCTGTAGGGTATACGTTCCTTGGTGCCGGTGCCCTTCACCTGGTGTCTCTGAGCATCTCCATCTGGCTGGGCCTTGTCTTTCGCCGAATTGCGAGCATGCCCCCTGACCTCAACCCACTCGAAGATCGTTTCACCTCGCGGGCAAAGCACACCCGGAACAAGTCAAGCATTGCCACCGCCAGCACCACAGAAAGCGAGAAGCGGCTCTCAACGCCACTAGAAGACCGTCGCCGTTCAGGTCTTCCATATGAGGACATTTCGCAACCCCCAACAATCCCCTTCCTCCGAACCAGGGCCGATTCTGGAAGCTCCTTCAATAGTAGGAACTCGGTCGCCGATTTCCCCTCGAGGCAGTATCAGATTGTTCCTGGCAACTCGTCACCACGCAACTCAGTCATCTCTACAGACACACGAAGGCTGTCAAAGCCGCCGTCGATGCATCAGGGCTACTATTCCCAGGTTCCGCTTGAAGAAAGCGAGACAGCTCGTTCTTTTACCAATGTTGATCTCAACGCTCCCGCTAGTCCCCACACAGGGCAACAGCGAGTGGCAAAGTTTACTGAGACGTGGAGTGCGAGTGACTCTCTAATCTCCCGTACACAGCACCGCAATCAGCTGATGAATGCCGCTGGGCGAAACCGCGAGAGTTACCAGAAGACGTACGACGCACTTGACAAGCGATACGACGTCCCCGACGGGGACGACTCGGACTCTGAGCATGGCGAAAATTATCGCGTTGGCCACCAAAGTGGTGACGGCGATGTTGGAAGCCTTCATCCTCAACCGCTTCGCTCAAACCCGCCTGCACCAAGGAACAGGCTAATGGCACCATACAACTCAATGCATGGCTCTGCGTCGCCCGAGAGAAAGTCACATCCGCGGTCCTTCAGTGGCAGTCACGATATTGCTGATGAAAAGCATGCTTTAAACACTGGGCCTACGCCACCACCCCACAGAACAGGCTCGATTCAACGAGAGTCCGACTTTGTTGCCAAACCATATGGTCAGCTCAAACCGGCGACACCCCCAATCATGATTGGAAGCAATCGCCAGGTGTCATCAGGAAACGACTATGACGGCCAACCCGCGGGAGCGTTCAGTCGACGTAATGTTAGCGGCAAAATTGCAGAAGAAGGCCGCGCAACACTTCCTCCCTCCCGTTCGCGCTTCAGCATTTTGAACAAATAGACAGTCAACCTCTTTGCATACAGAGTCAAATACATGTTGTGCGGGGCAAGGAAACAAGTTACGGGTCGCTGGGTTGGATACGGAGTTGCAGGGTCTGAATTCAAGTCATTGCCTACTATATGCTCAACCTTCCTCGACGTTGCGATTTTGTGACCCAAAGGCATGTAAAATTTGATGAAATCTGCGCCTGGCTGCTTTTCATATTCCAAGAACGTTCGCGACCTAGCTAATCGTTGAATTTAAGCCTCAGTGCGTGCATACGAAGCCCAGGCGACGTTTTCTTGCGCTGTATTTCGCTGACCCATATTCCGAACCCAGGAGTTTTCATCCCAGGAGGCGAGCTCATAGATGTGTCGCATTGTTGGTCGGCCATGAGGGCAATTCCAAGGCTTGTCCAGTTCTCCCATATGTCTTACCAACCTTTCCATCTGTCGATGCGTCAATGCTTTGCCGACCATGATGCTGCTCCGACACGCTCGCATGGCAAACATCTTCCGCACTCTGGAAGGCCGAGGCGCAGGGCTCGTGCCCGTTAGATCATGGTCACCCAGCAATGATATGAGTTCTTCGAGGTCCGCTAATGTAAATGTCGTCTCACGACTCAGGGGCAGAGCCACAAGTTCACATCGCAATCCCACTGGCTGCGATCCCGAGTCGTCGATGCGTACCTTGAAGCCATTGACCTCCAAAGCCGAAATGTTTTCCCTCACAATTTCCTCCTCAAGAGCAGTAAGCTCGAGCTGTTTGGGCTGAACTAGGTGTTGTGACTGTACGGTAGTGCATGATTGGAGCCTTTCGAAATTGTACTTCTCATCTGATGCATGTTGATCGATGATGAACAAGCTGTCATGGCTTTTCTCATGCTCACCATTTGCACTGCCACTCGCGTGCCTGACAGCAAGTATAAACCCTAGGTTAAATTGGCCGACTACTGCCATGTCATCGAAATCTGATTTGGAGATGATGAGCGAGAGCTTATCCTCGGCGTTTTCGGCTTCGAGGCCGGCCTTGACAGCAGCGGAGGTTGAACTGCCGGAAAGCCCCTTGCCTTCACTTGCCTCTTCCTCAGACCAGGCAGCAAGATCCGCTTCATCAGTTTTGACAGTTTGCTCATATCGCAATGTTGCATCTTTACGCTTGGAGATCCAAGATAACGCATCAAACCCTGACCTGGCCCTATTTCGGTCACGAGGCTCCGAGTCAGCACTACTCTGATCATCTCGATATGAAGCTTGAGGCTCTTCATCCGGATCATGACCAGCGCTATTCGACAAATTTTCGCTCACAACATCGCTCTGATCATCAACGCTGTCCGGGTCTGCATCAACGAGGACTTGGTGGTCAGAGTCTGAATCGGCCATGCTCGGTTCTCGGGTTTTTTTAGACGGGGGAGCATAGGCCACCTCAAGGTCTTCATCGTTTCTGAGAGTGGCACGCTGGAGATGTTGGTTGTTTTCCCTAACTTCTGTTGCGGTGCTTTGGGCGTGAGATGCCGTTGGCTTCTGGCAGCCACTGAAGGCTATATAGCTCCTCAACTGATTATCGTCTGGGCGTAATGCGTCTATCGGAGACGATGGCAGACTGGGTTCTCGATGTGATGCTGGTTCGTGAGGGTTTCCCTTCGCACTTGTATGTGCGCTAGCAGCTCCAGCAGGCGCCTCGGGAGATAGTGGTACCATCCTAGGGCTGCCTGTCTTGCGTTGAATTCGTGATATGCTTGTAGGACTGACAAACATGGTCTTCGAAGTGGACAACAGTGGGTCTTGATCTGGGAACACTGGATCTCTAGAGCTTGTCGAATTTTCTGTGATCCCAAGGTTCGTCATACTGGTCTTCGGCCTTGAAAAAACTTGATGCGACGGTTCACCTCGTACACCCTTACTATTGATGGATAGCATTGGCTTGGCCGGGGATTTTCCGTGCTGTGCTTCTGAAGAACTGCCACTGGGTTCACTGGCCCCCGAATATATTTCGTGAATCGTGTTGTTCGATTGCTTGGCGATCCAGCGGTCCATGAGAGCTTGGGCGGGAGACTCAAGTGCTTGAGCAGTCACCGGCTGAGATTTCCGGGTCAAACAACCTTGGTTGTCAGATGCGTTTTCTGCGCTTTCTGTGTCTGTCTCAATCTCCGTGGACCGATATACATCGTCGTTGCTCGTGTCTGAAATCACCCGACGCAATGGCGACTGCTTGTCGGGGCTAGATTTTGGTGAAGAGGCCACAGATGATCCGGGCTTGGATGGTGCCATGTGTGACAAGGGGATGGAATAGTCCTGAGACTCGAATAGGGATGTGAGAGCTTCGCGTAGAGACTCCAACATGCGATTTTGCTCATGCATCAGAATTGTGCGTTTGTCTGGGCTAACATTCACATCGTAAAGATGAGTGTCGAGTTGTATATCGGCGAGGATGAAGGGTGATTGCGATGAATTATACGACCTGTACACGTCATTGAACACCTTTGCAAACTGAGGGAGAATGCAAGGCCGTCCGTTGACGAAGAACATCTGACGATCTGGAGTTTGACGACCTTCGCCATGCGCGGGTCGGCTGACGAATCCTTTGACATGAACAGGGGAAGCGCTTTGGTCAGGCTGTTTTGCTGAAGTGAGGCCTGATTCTGCTGATGGCTCAAACTGAAGCTCGACATCGAGTCTCGTCAAAACAGCTGTGGTCTTGGCACCGAAGATGTTGATGATATTGTCTCGGACGGTGGTGTTTCCCTTGGTAGAAAAGAGAATGATGCGCTTACCCTTGTTGGGTTGCTGGGAAATGGTAAACTTCAAACCAGTCTGTATGCAGGCGTATTGGTTGAGAAGCGTGATGACCTTATTCCACTCTCGCTTGATGTTACGTTCAAGTTCACGTCGCCGGACAGGGAGATTGTGGAATAGGCTATTGACCGTTACCACTGTGCCCTTCTGCCCAGCGACGACGGTAGTGCCCTTCAGCCTGCCAGATGGCTCGAACTCTAGCTTAGTCGCTCTGGGGGCGTCACTGGCGAGGCAGGTGACGACAGAGAACTGAGACAAGGCGCAAAGAGACGACAAAGCCTCGCCACGGAAGCCAAATGTGGACAGAGTGTTGAGATCAGAGAAGGTCGCCAATTTGGAAGTATGGTGCTTCAAGGCCAATCCTTCGTAGTTATCAGGTGAGATGCCAGATCCATTGTCGTGAACTTCAATGGATTCCAGTCCTTGATTCTTGAAGCGCACGTCTGGAGGATGGCATGATGAGTAAAGGTGTATGGAATGAAATTGTCGTAGGTATCGGGTTGGAGATAAACTGCTTGACGTCACGTACCTATGGCCGTAGCATTAGCATCAAGGCTGTTCTCGACAAGCTCCTTGACCACAGAACACAGATCGACAATGACCTGCCCAGATTGGATCCGATGAACCTGGAGGAACGGTCAGCGAGAGCTCCCTTGGCGATGTACTCGTTTGTAAGGGACTTCATTTCTTACAGTATTGGCTTCAATGGCCTTAATGATAGCCATGGCAAGTGGCGTCTGCGGCACTGGAGCTATCGGCGTAGCTCACACTCACTTGGACAGAGGCCTGACCGTTAGCTGGGAGACCCCCTCTGCTGCACCACGGGCTGTACGAAAAGGGCAAACAAGGTAAAGAATGAGTGTTCAGGACATAAACTGATATCAGACAGCTTAATATTCAACCTGTTGGCACCATCTCTCGTAGTCCGTTGGAGGAAAGTCGTGGAAAATGACATGAGCAACGCGTGAGTAGCTACAACCCACCCTGGCACCAGGCCCACAGACGCGAGAGGTACATAGAGGCTGGTACCGTTTCGGAGTCGCTCTCCGTTTGGCAGTCCAGATCAGTAAAGGAGTACCGTAGTAGGTGCTCCACTTGCGAGAGGAAAACCTGCACTAGCAGCCAAGGTTGTTACGTAGGATCCAGTTTGCCAGTAATTATCGGGCCCCTGCCAACACTCAGAGACGCCGTGGACCCCCACGACTTCAAAAAGACACGGGCCTGTGCACCAAGGTACCTCAGAAGTGCATGCACTAGCACATCATTTGCCGGGGTACCTGGACGGTGGGTAGCTGTTACAGTGGGATACCTACCTGCCCAAGCTGTTGCATGTACAAGCTTATGCGTCTACGGCGGAACTTTCTAACTACCTATCTCCTTTGCCAGGAGGCTTTTCAAGCTTCTGCCCACTTCTTGCCGAAGCAAAGAGCTGGCGGCATACCTCCCAACAATCGCCAACACCTTTCGTCCGACGCCGCAGTAGGCCTCTGCTTGCAAGGGCATAGCGCAGTGAGACTTACCGGCCCGATGAAGGGGCGTTCATCCGCGTCCAGCGAGGACAGCGTTGAACCCTCCCACAAGCCACTGGTAACCGAAGAAGCCTCGTTCCTCAATCGGCCACGATCCGACTTCGAGCACGATGCCCAGCCCGGTCCCGACGCAAGTCCACGCTCGAACGAGCAACAAAACACTGTCACTCCCTTACCGACCGGTGCCCGGCGACATGTGAGCTTCAATTGGAAGTCAGACACACCACAGCCGGCGGGCGACAGCTCCAACCGGATACCATCCATCTCAACGCATCAGCCGCCGTCCATCACTTCAACCTCGCCGGACCGCCCACCTGACGGCAAACGCGCTGAAGCTACAAGACACGACGCTTCGTCCGCGGATAGTAACCATGACGCTTCACAACAACGCGAATACCGAGCGGCACTGCGCAGCCCCTTCTCCGTTACCCTGATGGCGTTTATGACTGCTGTGCTGGGCATCACTTTACTATATGCTATCGTGGGCTCCTCCTTGTCACGACAAGTGGAGGAAAAGGGTTGTCGCATGTCATATATGCGGCCCTCATATGTACGCCTGCATGAATTCGATACAGAACATACCCGTTTCGCGACGAAGTATTCGTTATACCTCTATCGGGAGCAGGGTATAGACACGAACAACAAGGTAATTCCCATTCAGGCCAGCCTTGTGGCATTTCACTTTCGTTCTTGCAGTCTAATCATTTGTGTTTCTTAGCTTCGAGGCGCACCCGTTCTTTTCATACCCGGCAATGCTGGTAGCTACAAGCAGGTTCGACCTGTTGCCGCTGAAGCAGCCAATTACTTTCACGATGCTTTGCAACAAGATCCAGACACGACGGCCAGAGGCGTGCGCCCATTGGATTTCTTCACAGTCGATTTCAACGAAGACATCACGGCCTTCCACGGCCAGACTATGCTCGACCAGGCTGATTACTTGAATGAAGCCATCAGGTTCATCTTGGCGCTTTACCAGGATCCAAAAATGACCTCGAGGGGTGTGGACTTGCCCGAGCCGACCTCGGTCTTGATACTTGGGCACTCTATGGGGGGCATAGTTGCTCGTACCATGCTTACCATGCCCAATTATCAGTCCAACTCAATCAACACCATCATCACCATGTCTGCTCCACACGCACGCGCCCCAGTTACTTTCGATAGCCAAATTGTCAGCATCTACAACGACATCAATAGTTACTGGCGTCAAGCCTACGCCCAAAAATGGGCAAACGACAACCCCCTATGGCACGTAACCCTGGTGTCTATTGCTGGCGGCGGTTTGGACACCGTCGTACCTTCCGATTATGCCAATATTGAATCTCTCGTCCCAGAAACGAATGGCTTCACAGTCTTCACCACTGGGATACCCACTGTTTGGACCAGCATGGACCACCAAGCTATTCTCTGGTGCGATCAATTCAGAAAAGTTCTCACTCGTGCGATCTTTGACGTTATCGATGCTCGTCGGCCATCACAAACTAAGCCAAGAGCCGAGAGGATGCGAATGTTCAAGCGACGCTTCCTAACTGGCATGGAAACGTCTGCAGAGAAGGTGCTGTCTAACAATGAACCCACAACACTTCTTACCGTTGGAGACGATTTCCTCGCCAGCGCAGCGCATGGAGAGCAACTGGTACTCCGAGACTTGGGTGGAAAGCCGGAACTAGAGGCTCACTTGCTTCCCATACCCTCTGACCGACTATCAAATGGCATACAATTCAACCTGCTCACGAACAGTCCTCTGGATTCCCCCGGCGAGCATGGTACTCTTGAGGTACTATTTTGCAGCCCTGCTGGCCACCAGTCCCTTCCTAGCCCGGAGCTTGTACACCTAAATCTCGGACCGTCGAATGATCGGCTCGACGCTGTCAAGTTGTTGTGCAAGAATACGGCAGCCGACCAAATACTTCTTCCAGCATCCACCGATTTCACGACTCAGCCATTCGTGTCCAAGACCGGCGAAGGGCATCTGCCATTTATCTTCCTGAAGTATGACATGGAGGACTTTGCTGAGTACCTCTATGTTGCGGTCATTGACAAAGCCGTTAAACCCACCAGTGCCTTTGTTGTGGCCGACTTTAGCAGCGAAACTCAAGCCAAGAGAATACAAACCGTGGGCGTCGGACGACTGGCAGCCCTTGGCCTGGCAATGACGCTACCTGGAGATCGCCCGATGACTGCTGAAGTCAAATTCCCAAATCTCAAGTCGAGCCTTGTCGCCCTTCATCTCGAAATCCACAGTCCAGCGTGCAGCAGCAAACGGCTTCTGTTTTCGCCAATGATCAGACAATATCTTGCCCACCCTCACGAGTCAAGATTCTACGTCAACGCGCGAAGTGTAGACTTAAGCATGCATGGCTCTGCACCTTTTTTGCCGCCTCCCTTGACACCGTCTAGCGCCAATGACCAAGGCCTCAGCCTTCAAATCTGGACTGACCCAACCTGCGAGTCTAGCCTTGAGATTCGGCTTACTGTGGACATTTTGGGCAGCTTGGGAAAGCTTGTCATTCGATATCGAACCGTCTTTGCTGCTTTCCCACTCCTGATAGTGTCTCTGGTGCTTCGGAAGCAATTTCGGGTCTATGACTCCACTGGCGTGTTTATCTCCTTCTCAGATAGCCTTGACAGCTGCCTGAAGCAATCTTTGCCATTGGTTTTGCTCTCGCTTACACTCCTCTCGTTATCATTGAGAGGATCCGAGACGTCCGTCACAGGCATATTGTGGGACACCTGGGATGCAAATGCCCCCACAACCGACTTCCACAGCAACGACCTATTGACTGGCACGCGGGACTCCTTTTTTTGGTTCCTGGTGCCTCTTATCGGCGTTGTCTGCATTGGTGTATGTGTGGCTATACACCTCGCCACCGTCGCTCTGACACACATACTCGGTTTGCTTTATGGGTACACTATGGCGCGCCCACTTTGGCAAAGACAAGATGGTCGTCGTCGAGCGTCGACGTCAGCATTTGTTCCATCATCTGCTAGGCGGCGCATGATTACAACTGCTGTGCTTCTCTTCTTGGTGTCGACCTTCATACCCTACCAATTCGCATACCTAGTCGCGTGCCTGGTTCAGCTATTCACCACAGTCCGCGCTCTCCGAATCACTAATGAAATCGGGTCGACCGCAAGTCATGATTTTTACAATTACGCCCACTCGATCCTGCTTCTCATGCTATGGGTTTTACCGATCAACCTACCCATACTTGCCGTTTGGATACGCAACCTCGCAATTCACTGGCTCACCCCTTTCTCTTCGCACCACAACGTTCTCTCTATTATGCCTTTCATTCTCCTGGTCGAGAACTTGACAGCCGGCAAAATGGTGCCTCGATTGGCAGGCAGGACAAAGCACTTGACAAGCATTTTCCTGTTCAGCACTGCTATCTATGCCGCCATTTACGGCATATCATATGCATACATGCTGCATTATCTGGTCAATCTTGTTGCTGTTTGGTTGGTCGTCATTCATTCGACATCAGATGGCTGGTCCCTCACCGGAGTGAACTCGTTGTTTGACGGTCGCGAATTATTCGATGCAAAAGACAGCAAGCGTCCGTAAAAGAGAACTCGGTATTCATGTCAACAAGCGGCGGGCGAACTCATTGCGTGTGTTATTCTGGGCTGCAAGAGGTCACTCAGCACGCCTATCTGACCACGGACAGCGTCCTGCAAGGGCACAACTCGTTATTGTATGGTGGTTCTCTTTCTTTCTTTCTTTCTTTCTTTCTTTCGCGCTATCATTTCTGTTCTCGGGTCATGGAATATATTGCATGTCGAGCTCTATTCTGGCTGTACAGATAACTCAGAGATAATACTTGCAGGAGCAGCGGCGGCGCTGGATGGTTTACAAGGGTAACAGGCATTAGTTCGGAGTTTTCGTACATTTCACCTCAAAGGATCTTACTTGGGGACGAGCAGGAGGTACAACCATGAGCAAGGTTCTCTCGGATTCGCAGTGATTAATGTGTCACAATGAGTTTCAGAGGAGGTACTTGCCAGTCCTCCACACGACTGCGCATTAATGGAGCACTTGTTATGAAAGCGGACAGAGTGAGAGGAAAGGAGCACGGTAGGCGGATCTGGGAAGGAGTAGGACCAATACAACGCGTCAACAGATCCGGTTGATCGTGTATGTATGTTCATGTCTATGCTGTCTATTTGCGTCCACATATTTGTACACGTCTGGAAGAAAAACACACTTAGTCCTCCTGCTCCCCCTTGTCCTCTTTGGCCCAGGTAACATGTTGATGGCGAATGACCCACAGCGTAGTAACAGTTCCTAATGCGCAGGCACCCAGTGTGACCAAGTAGGCGGCTTGGTAACACCCACGGCCATCATGACAAATACGCTCTCCGCCAGGGCCGATCACACTGTGTTGATCAAAAACAGACCCGTAAAAGAGGTTGAAGACATTGCCCGAGATGACGGGCGAAAGTGTCATGAGACCCCAATTTTGACTGAGCCCATGAATGCCAAAGGTCTCAGCGACGATTGAAGGGAAGACACCGAACAGGATACCGTACGCGAGGCCTGATAGACCGGATACAAAACCCAGCAAGTGCGGATTCTCTATGCTCAGTGCGCAAATTTGCGCCATGGAGAAGATCAGACTGGATATGACGAGACACCAGACGCGGCTGCCGTGGAGTACCTTGACAATGATGTCGGAACCGACGCCTACAAGTATGAGCTCGAGGACCATCATGGCTCATGGAATTTCATGCAACTCACCACTGAGAAGCCGTCCCGTAAAGCTGCAGATCGACAATATGGAGACGTGCAGCTGTTGGTGAGTAATGAGAAAGTTTTCGTCGACAGTGTCATCCCAGTGGCGCCACAGGGCATTTACGGTATGCCCAATGTTGCTGTAGAAATTATCAGCTATATTGGGGAAAGGGTGGTGGCCAGCTGAGCCGCGGTATCAGGAGAACATACTTGATGGTCATAAGACCAATCCCGGTGAGAATACCCATGACACAGAATAATTGCCAAAAGTCGATCATGCGCAGCAACTGCCAACCACGAATATCTATACGATGAGAACGATCCAAATCAACACTGCTCTGCACAACAATGTCCCCGGGCATTGATGATGCACTCGATATCAAAGAAGAGGTCTCATCAGGTTCGGGGCCGTCAGACGTGTCAGGCAGGCCATGTTCTTCGTCCTGCCCATGGGTAGCTTCGGTACCTCGGACATTCCCACCGTGAAACGAATCGGCTGTGCCGCTGGGGCTACTTGTGCTAGGTGACGTACCGGGTTCGAAACGAGAAGTATTGTGTGCGTGGTGCGCGGCTTGGTGCTTTGCATCTTCAGATTCGGTCCTGTAAAGCTCTTGAGAGCCCAGTAGAGGATCCGGACGTGCGACTGGGCGGTATCCGGTAGGAGGTAGCACGCGAAGGAAGAAGAAACCAACAAAAGGTAAACCAAATGTACCAATAGCAAGGGTGGCTAGAAAAGCACTTGTGTTTCCGGGGAAGAAAACACTCCCAAACAAGGAGAAGAAGAACGCACTGAGGCCGAAGGCGGCCAGGGGAAATGCTGTTGCGGTGCCACGGTGGTGTGGCCAGTTGAGGGCAGACGTCTTGACAGCCGCGGCGAAGGCCATGCAGCCTCCGAGACCCGTCAGGTACGAGAAAAAGCAAAGCAGGGGAACAGAACCAGCTGCATGATCGAAAGCCTGGTGCAATGGGAAATAGCCTGATGCCAGTAGTATAGCGCCGGCGATGACTGCAGGGCGTGGGCCTTTGGTATCGACGAAGATGCCTATGGGTACGCCGAGAGAGTACATTCCCAGATTTCCAGAAAGACCAATCAAATTACTTTGCGTAGACGATAGTTTGAGCCGGTCGGCGAATTGGGGAGCCCATGCTGAATAGACGTACTGAGAGAGGGCGAAGGTCAGCTCCAAGACAGGACAGAACGGGTAGGAGTCCCGGTTTTTGAGCGCTCACATTGGTACCGCATGCAAGAGAAATGACCGTCGCTGCGATGCTAGCGACTATGCGAGCTCGATTGAGCTGCGCATGTTTTGAGTCGTTCGTCATGGTGTTGGTGAAGCGAAATGCGGGTCGAACTATCGTAATGAAGGGTGCCAGGTCGGCTCGTTCAGGACATCATTCAACTAGCCGGGCCAGAAGAACGAGATTGAAAGTCGTCGCGAGTTCGCGACGTAGTCATCTGTCGATGCTGTCTTGCCGACCTGCGAGTGACAAGATCTACTGGCGTTCGGGTTTGGCATTAGCTCGGCGTGCGGTAATGACTTGTAGTCGGCCACAATGAAGACAAGCACGGTTAGAGATAGCGCGGTCCTTTCCGTCAGTAGGTGCGTACCTCGGGGTTGCTGTTATCTCGCTCCGGCTGCGGAGC